CCTCCAGCGCTGCTCCTCCTGACTCAGCGCACAAGTGCACCAACACTTCCACGCATTGCAGCCAGTGATGATCTGGCGAGGAATGAGGCTGGCAACTTCCTTTATAGTGCTGGCCATTCCTCGCTGGGTCTACATTGGCTCAATTCAGCCTCTCCCTTTGTCCCAGACCCTGCATTGCATGTGTCCCAGTATAGTCCCAATGAGGTTCAACTGCAGCTGAGGCACTTCGGCCTGGATTTTGGACTTGAAAGTCTGGATTTGGAATGACCCCTTGACTTAGACCAGAACTGGGACTGTGCCTACTACTTTACTTTCGGACAGGCACAACTCTAAACGAACAGACACATTTACCACTTGAACAGACACTTTCCTTTGCACGAACAGGTACACTGCCTGCACGTACAGACACACTCTTACCCGAACAGACATGACATACTCATCTCCTGGTGAACAGGTAAGTCTTTTGATAATACCCTTTGCCTTAGATTTAGATGTGCCTGTTGATAGAGAACTTGACCTTTGACCTGCTTTCACGTTTCTGAGCCCTGGCGAGATACCTTTTCACAATGCTTTACTTTTACAAAGCACATGCTGCTTTACCTTTGCAAGGCCTGAGGCCTATATCGGGTAAAGGCCCTTTTACTCTCGCCGGCCTAGTTTCGAAGTCCTCTGAGAATCATTTACTCATCAATGATATAGATTCCTTTTCTTTCCTTTTCATAGGCAGACACAATATGAGGTGCAGACTCTAGCAAGTCTTCCCTGGTGAACCAACGATCCTCGCTAGGATTCTGGTAGGCAAACCTCACCTTGTATTGTCGTTGTGGTCTGCCTCGACGGCCAGTATGAAAAGTACTTTCTGCAATAATCTTTTCCACGTCATACCTTCCACCCATACTTGGAGGTATCGCTGACCTGCAGCTTGGAAACAACTCATTCGTCACGCAAGGCAGGAGCTTTGAGGCGTGGAACACTGGATAAGTACGCAAATGTAAAGGAACCTCAATGACATATGAAGGACCATCTACATCTCCAATTACGTCTAGAACCTGCCAAGGACCTCTATAGGCAGGTAAAAGCTTTTGAGAGATGTTTTCTTCAGGAGCAAACTCTCTAGATTTTACCCAAACTAAATCTCCTACAGCAAATTGAGACGGGCGTCTATGTTTATTTGCCTGTTCAATCATCTGATGTTGGGCTTTGAGTATGTTTTCTTTTACCTTCTCAATGTCTTTTTTGATATTGGACTGCAAATTCACTAGTTCCTAGAGGAAGCTTATGGACTTGATCCGGGTTCAACCGATCAATAGGTCTGCGTGAACGCCATCCCAGGTGCAACTCCATAGGAGTCTTACACGTAGATAGATGTACAGAGTTGTTATAGGCACTAGCAACTTTAGGCAGATGTTCATCCCAATCAATCTGATCGGGACGAATGTACATGCGCAAAGTCTGCTGCAAGATCTTATTCATTTGTTCAGTCTAACCATTAGTCTCAGGATGCCTACCTGATGACATTGTAAACTTAGAACCATATACATTCATAAGTTGCTGCCATTGTTCACTTGTGAATCGGGTATCTTTGTCACTCACAATAGTTAAGGGATGTCCAAAGTCTTTTACCCGATGGTTAAAGAACTCCCGAATTACCAAATCAGTCTTTGCTTCCGAAGGCAAGGCTACAAAAACAGCATACTTCGTGAATCTATCTACTATGACCATTACTTGCGTTTTTCCATTTCTGCTCTTCACCTTCGTATCCATGAAATCTATAGAGACAGAGTCTCCAGGGCCGGTAGGGATAGGCAAAGGCTTAAGTAGTCCAAGGGGCGATTGCGTGGTGCTTTTGTTCCGTTGGCATACTTGACAACCTTGCACATACACGATACAGTCTGCTTTCATTCGAAGCCAAGTGTAGGAACGCAACAAGGTCCCATAGGTCTTCTTCCACCCAAAATGGCCTTCTGTATCATGGCATTCCCCCAAGATCATGCTTTTGATCTCTTATTGGGTATGCACATCCTATCATTCACATCAGTTCGTTCAAACAATAGGCCCTGAGTTACTTTATGATTGGGAAACTCTGCTGGCTTCTCTTGCACTAGCTTAATCATGGTTCCATAAACAGGATCAGTGGGATACACATTTCTAATCTTTTCTTGTAGGTCAGCACCTACATCTAGATAGGTTACAATAGCACCGAAAAATTCTGATCTACGACTTAGTGCATCAACAACAATGTTATACTTACCCTTGACTGGCTACAATTCAAAGTCAAACATATCAATCTTTGCGGCCCACCTTGTCAACTTAGGTGTCATTCGGGCCTGCGTTTTAAGCCAGCGAAGTGTTTCATGGTCAGAGTACACCTTAAAATGCCGTCCCAGAAGGTAGTGTCGCCAATGATTGAGAGCCTCACGCAAAGCATACAACTCTCATTCATACGTTGAAGCGGCCACCTTCTCGTTAGGTAAGCGGCAAGACATAAACTCTACAGGTCTGTACCATGCCCATCATCTTGCTGGAGTATAGCACCTATACCATATTGACTAGCGTCGGTCGTGACCACGAAAGGTAAGGAAGGTTCCGCCACTTTGAGAACCAGATAATTAATCAAACACTTTTTCAGACGCTTGAAGGACATCGTGCAGTCTGAATCCCACTTCCAATTTACTTCTTTCTTAAGCAATCGGCGAAGGGGAGCAGCTATTATCGTAAAGTGTCTTACGAACTTTCAATAGTAATTGGCTAACCCAAGGAACGACAGCAACTCGGTCAAGGCGCGGGGGTTCGACCAATCTCTAATTGTTGCTATCTTGGCATCTTCCGGTTTGACCCCATCTCCATCAATCACATGTCCTAGGTATAGCACTTGAAGCTTAGCCCATTCACACTTCTTTGGGTTTAACTTGAGTTTTGCTTCTCTCAATTTATTTAGCACAAGTCGAAGGTGCTCAGCATGCTCCTTTTCATTTTTGCTGAAAATCAAAATATCGTCTAAATAAGTCACAACAAATTTATCGAGCCATTCACGAAAGAGTTCGTTCATCGTTCTTTGGAAAGTGGCAGGGGCATTCGTGAGACCAAAGGGCAAAACTATAAACTCATAATGCCCATACCTTGTCCTGAAGGCAGTCTTATGTTGGTCTTCCGGCTCAACCTCAATCTGATGGTAGCCGGATTTTAGATCAATCTTCGAGAAGATTTTGCAACCCTGCACGCGATCCAGCAAATCGTCTATTCGCAGAAATGGTTCGACATTCTTTATAGTTATATCATTTAATCTCCTATAGTTTATACACATGCGAATGCCGCCGTCTTTCTTGGGCACAAAGAGCACAGACGCACCATAGGGTGAGGAGCTAGGTCTTATCCATCCATTTTTCAGCAACTCATCGAGTTGGGTTCGCAGTTCATCCAATTCCTGGGGCGGCATACGATAGATAGGCCCCTTCGGGGGCGCGCTCCCTGGAATGATATCAATGCGGTGGCGGATTGGTCGTTCCACCACACTGCTTGGGGCTTCAGCTACATCAGCGAACTCTTTCAGAATTCTGTCAATTTCTTGAGACCAGACTTCTTCCTTAGTTTCTCCTTCCTTTACTGGGCGCACATATGCAACAAAAACTTGGTCATACAAGTTATGTTTCTTAACATGGCGAGCGAACGCTGGGGCACTCATACAACAGTGAGCTAGGCTGCTTTCTTTTCCAGATTCATGATAGAGGCGGATTTTCTTCTTACCTCCTTGCGGACTTGGAAGCCAACATTCATGTTCCCTCAATCCATTCCTAATAACACATCAAAGGGCAAGTTATCCTCCACCAAGAAGGTCAGAGAGTGGAGAAATCGTTCCACCTTTCCCTCTGCTTCTAGCCGAAAGTATACTTGTACTCCCTCGACGTATCGATCCATGATGGTTTCACTACTATTTGCTAACTTACTTATAATGGGCTCATCTAACTTCTTACCCTTAAGCCCAAGACGCAGTTTCTGCAAACCTCTTTGACTAATATAACTCCGTGTAGACCCGCTGTCTATCATACCTCCTGCTCTTGTTCGATTTATTTCTAGATCTGCAATTATTAGATGTCCTTTCTTTTAACGCATTTCAGTACAGGCTTGGCGACGAGCGGCCAACTCATCACCCACGCCAGCGAGGGATCCATCTAGAGAGATGCATACGTTTGCCACCTCTGGACAGTGCACTAGATGGGGACTTCCTTCCTCTTCAGTTTTTGCCATTGGGGCCTTCGAATGGGAGGATTCTGATTTTTCAACATTCGAATCCCCGGTAGAGGCAACTGGCACCTCTACTGGCTGTTCCCTTTTGCCCCCCTATAGTCAGGGCAGTAGGGGACAATATGGTCGGGGTCCCCACATTTGAGGCATTGATCCGCCTTCTTCCTTTCGGCCCAAACTTTTTCTGTGATTCCCAATTCTTTCCAAGGCTCTCCTTCCGGCAGGCCTGGATGAGGTGGGTATGGCTTATCCCACTTGTTGTACCATGAGCCTCTTCCTCTACCCCAGGTGGAGTAAGAACCACGGCCACCGTATGAGGGACCATTTCCCCTTCCTCCCACGTAGTGGCTTCCTTCACCACCACCCCTCTGGGTGCCGAATCCTCGTCCACCACGGCCGCGACCTCTTCCTCGGCCACGCCCTCTTCCTTGACGCCCTCCCCCGTGGGATGCAACAGCCGCGTAACTCCCCTCCTGAGCTACCGGTATGTTGGGTTCATCGAGACCATAGTCTACCTGATCCCAGGAGATGGTCTCGGCGCCTCCTTCTTCAAAGGTTAGAAGGAGACTGTCTTTCCCAGGTATAGACCCTGAGATGGTGCGGTTTTGCCATCTCTTACCCGCTTGCAAATCCTTCCAGTAATGGCAATAATTTGCTTCAGCGAGGAAGCCGGTATGATCTATGGCGATCTTGCCGAACTTCTCATATGTCATCCCCTCTTCCTTGGTACGGGGATAGAGTTGTGTTCTTAGGGGATCCGGGAGTGCTCGTGCAAAGCTGTTTAAGATTTGGGCCAACGTCAATCCGTGATCAGGGCATTGCAATAGTTCATCCATAGTTGCCTTTAGTGCAGAGGTACTCTTCCATTTCCTGTCAAGAAGGCTGAGGATCAACATTTCTGTACGTCTTGCCAAGTTTTTGTCCTCAAATCTTTCTCTTATTAACTTAAGGAAATCTCTGATTCGCGTTTGCTGCGAATACTCTACCATAGAGCTGCATCCCGCTTCCTTTTGCAGCGAGATGGCGAAGCTCATGGCGTCGCCTCCCATGCACGAAGTTGCCATCAACACCCTGTCCCAGTATGGGATACGCTGTCCGTACACATAGGTTTCAATGGCCGCCGCCCAGTGCAATACACTCTCCTCTTTTTTTCCATTGTAGGTCCATGGCAGTTTAAGTTTTATCTTGTTAACCTGCCCGGTTTCCTGAGGAAGTTTTTCCTTTGGATCCCCAATTTTCTTCATCCCTTTTTTGTCACCATCGTCATCGCCATCTCCATCTCCTCCGTCGCCTCTAGCTCCCTTTACAATCTTTTCTATAACTTCGGGGGTGAATGTCTTACTGACGTGGTCATCCAAAGCCTGGATATATGTCTGAACATGATGGTCTACATCCTTGGCTGACTTTTCCAAGAAGTTGTTCCAGACGGTTTCAAATTCCACTCGATGTGTTTCGACACGTTGCAAAGTCTGACGCATTAAGTCCCTATCTTGCCTCGTGTTGAGGACGGCCTCCCTGAGGAGTGCAAGCTCTACTTCAGTTTCAAAGGGGTTTTCCTTTTGTGCTTCTAGAGCTTTCTGCAATTTCTCCCCTTCTGCCTGCAACCTTTTCTTTTCGTTCACTTCTTGCCTTCTGGCTGCTAACAACTTGTTGTTCAACTCAGCCCGTTTCTCTGCCATCATCATTGCGTTCAACCGTATTTGTCACCGTGGCTAATTTTTTAGCGGTTCAACCGGAAGCCGCTGTGCTGTACTACTCTCGGGGATGTCAATGGGACGACGTCTTACTAAAGTCTCCCCTTCCTCTTCCTCTTCTTTTTCTTCTTCTTGTATACTTCTCAATTCTTCTTCTAGTTCCCTGTCCATTTTCTCTTTCATTTTCTTTCTTGCTTCTTCTTTCTGTTTTTTCTTGGCTTCTCTCTCCTTTTTCTTCTCGGCCAACTTACGATCTATCTCTGCCTGCTCCGCAGGTGTAGGGCCAGGCTTCACTGTTCCAGACCGCATCAGCATGCGGGACGTGCACACACGCCCGAACCCCAGTGGGAACATAAGCCGGAATAGCGGCCCCAACAAGACAGAAAGGGCCAACAGGCCCTGGATGGGATAGTCATCCATGATGATTGTCGGCACAGGAGACGTTCCGCCGGGTCACCAAGGTACTATCCCACTCACAGATGGTCTTGACTTGCGGTAATGGAGTACTTATACTTTCCTTTTCCTTTTTTCTGTTTAACGGTAGAAGGTGCTGCGTACAATCAACAATAGATCAAACTACAATGAACTTGAATATGTCTATTTTTTTTATTTTATTTTTTTTGATGTGCTGTCTGGCCTCCTGGATCGAATGTTTGGTAATGTGTTTTTGTTGTCTTGCTTTCTCTTTTTTTTTTTTTTTTTTTGTACTAACTTGGCTGGTTGCTTGGTGCAGATATGGAGTATATCGCAGAGGAGTCAGATGCAATGGGTTCACTTACCCACCCAGGCAGAGATACTTCGTATACCCTCTTCTTTGTTTCGGGCTTAACAAACCTTGCAGATGCTCAATATCATCCTTATGCTGCCTGGTACATGCTATCTGACGTGGCTCATAGCCACTTCCCACATCGATCCTTGGTTCTTGATGACAATACCCAGCCTGCCTATCAAGAGGGATAGGAGAGAGACCTACTCCTATTCACAGAATGCTGGACCACCTACTTTAGTGAGACCAGTCCCTGACACATCACACCTGGGTCATCAGACTCTGACGACTCAGACCTGACAGCTATGACACCCCAGATCCAGACTTCGACTCCTGACCAGATCAGCAGCAGTCACCTTCAGAGGGTCAGAGAGAGAGAAGGTAGGGGACACACACATGCATGCAGGTTCAGGGAAAAGGAGGTGCTTCTCTCTTCTTGAAGATACCGCCGATGGTGCTCCACGACGCTCCGCACGCTCCAGGTAAGTAGACTTTGCCACTTCTTCTTCGGCCTGCTTCCCCCATTATCAACACTCTTCTTCTCCTCCTCCCTCCTTCGCTATTCCTCCATCACCACTTCTTCTCGCCGACCTTGATCAGACCAGCGCTATGAGAGTAGCGAGCATCTGCTCCGATACCAAATTTGCATGGGTCCTGGGGACCCTTTCAAGCAAGTGTGGGCATGTCATGCATCATCCTCACACACCACAATCAATAGTCTCAAGTCATAGACAAAGGTAGATGAGAAGAGGACCGAGTTTCACAGCTTATATTATCAGAAATATGAATACAAAGTGTTTCAAAATTCCCCTGAGTCCAGCGCTTATCAGCGCAACACCAATCTCTTGTCAACTAATCAATATGACTTCAAGTGAATCAGCGCTACTCCTGCAGATAGTCTCCAAGTCATCAATGTGGTCACTACTCATCAGCGCCACCTCTGCAGGTCACAT